GCCCCTCTCAAGGCCCAGAGGCGCCCTTGGTCCAGGGCCTGCCCTACTCGCCCCGCCAGGCCTCGGCAGCTGCCAGCGGGACTCGGACTGCCACAGCGCCCCCCGCCTGGTCAGAGCCCCTCACCCCTGGCCTGTGCACCCTGGCTGCTCCCAGCCGACTGAAAAAGCGTTTCTGACCCAGAGAAGAAGCCCTGTGCCATTCCGGACGTGTAGGCTTTCCCTTGTTTTTGATTTTTTGAGACAGGGCCTCACTATGTGATCCAGGCTGATCTCAAATTCTCTGCGGCCCTCCTGCCTCAGCCTCCCAAGCGCTGGGATGACAGGCGTGTGCCACCATGCCCGGCAGGTTTTTACACTTTTTGAGGAAAACATATTAAAGAAAAGGCAGTATTTTGTGAGACTGACACCTGGGTGCCCTTAAGTCAAGCTTTATTGAAGCAGGGGCCCCTGGTCTAGGGCTGCTTTGGGGCCTACGGAGCTCGCACATCAAATGCACTGATGGCTGACAGCTCTGCAAGAGGAAAGGGGGTTCGTCCTCTGCCCCAGCCCTGTGGCCGTGCTGGTGACTGAGACCTGAGCCCAGCAGCCTCCACCCAGGGCGTCCGCAGGCAGTGCCGGCTTTGAGGCCGAGGGCCGATGTGGGGTCCTGGTCACCGTGGGGATCGCCGGCAGCCCCTGGTCCCCATCGTGCTGGCCTGGCTCTCGTCACTGTCCCCACAGGGGTGCTGCACCCTTGGGTGACCCCGCCGTGTGAAGCCTCAGCGCCTCCATATTCCACGCACTGAAAATGCCCGCGCCGGCACAATGTGTTGTTTGAAAATATGAATATGCAAACGTGTGTGTTTGCATACATGAATATGCAAATCTCCCGGTAGAGAAACCCGAGCAGCTTCTAATGTTGAATCTCGAGTTCGTCTGTTTTATTTTTGGGGGTAACCAAGAATCAACCCCACAATGAGCTGCATCCCCAGCGCCCCCCTTCTTGATCTCTCTCCTCTTCCTTTCTTTTGAGACAGCGCCTCCCTAAGTCACCAAGATGTCCAGGCTGGGCTTGAGCCCGCCATCCTCCTGCCTCAGCCTCTGTTGCCCTAGGGGATGCAGCATCCCCGCTGTGCCTGCCATCAGGAGCATCGCCCTCCCAGGTTGCAGTGGCAGAGCCGCCCCGCCTGGGGGTGACGGCCACCACCCGCTGCTGCCAGGGACGGCAGGGACCCAGCCTGTGACTCCAGGCGGAGCACAGCCCTGCTGTCTCCCCGCTCTGCAGATGGGTAAACTGAGCCCCAAGAGGGACGCAGGGTCTGTCGTCCCAGTCCCCAGGCTCCAGAGCAGCAGAGATCTCCGTCCTGGGTCCCAGAACAGCCAGAGGCCTGCAGGGCAGCTGGGCCCCCAAGCTGTGGGAACAAAGTAAGAGCACTGCGCAGCACGCCGCGCAGCAAAGGCCAGAGGTGGATGCAGTCAGCAACCCCGGCTACTGCACAGGACAAGACTGTGACCTCAGGGGATGCACGGGGTGGGCTGGGGAACCGCCGTGGTCCTTCTGATCCCGAGATCACAGCTGGAGTTTAGTTGGTCCCAGCACACCTGGAAGGGAAATTCACGGCACAGCGGTGAGGCCTGGCTGTCGCTCACATACACTGGCATGAGAGCCAGGGACGGAATGGAACACCTAGGGACAACATCTTGAAGTACAATTTCTCAAAAGCTTAGGGATTATCCGTAGCAAATAGTTTCTCTGGTGTGAAAAACTAAAAGTGTGCATAAGATCCTAATGGTATAACTGACAATGTGAAATAGGAAGAAAAGGGCTAAAGGTGTCAGGGAAGTGGGAAGGGTAGGGGAAGGGAAATAAGGGAAAAGAAAAAATAGAGAAAATTAAAAAATAGAAACCAAGTTTTTGTAAACGGGGAGGGGAGGAGGGGGGGAGGGGAGGGGGGGGAAGTGGAAAAGAAAAAATAGAGAAAATTAAAAAATAGAAACCAAGTTTTTGTAAACGGGGAGGGGAGGAGGGGGTGAAGGGAGGGTGGGGACAAGGGGAAAAATGAGACCCAAGACCTGTCATGTAGAGGTACAGGATCCCAATGATGAATGTAACTGTACTGTAGACCTAAAGTGTGCCAATAAACTCAATGAGAGGGAAAAAAAAGTTTACGGATTATCTATTCCTGGAATTTTCTTTCTTTTTGTATTTTAAACTTTTATTATTTATTTATTTTGGCTTTGTAAGACAAAGATCTTACTGTGTAGCCCAAGTGGCCTCACACCCTTGGTGACCTTCCTGCCTCAGCCTCCCGTGTGCTGGGATGACAGGCGTGAGCCACCCTGCCCAGCAACGTTTATTGCTTTGTAAATCTGGGCTTTGCTCAGAGAAGTGTGTCCAGCAGACACCAGGTGACGCCTCTCTGGCTCTGGCCGGGCGATCCCGGCAGCCTGGAGCCCTGCGTGGGCCTGTGGGAGGCCGGTGCCCCTGGCCGAGTGGCCCCAGCACGGGCCCAGCCTGCAGGACACACATTCCAGCGGTGGCCACAGGGTCCCCGCGCAGGGCCAGAAATAGCTCCACCTTTTATTTGGAAAAAGAATTAGAGGGAGCGGGCGGGCGCCACTGTATTTAGAGCTCACCGCAAGGCCCCGCGCTGTGCTAGGCTAAATGCTGCCAGCTGCCCAAACACAGCGTGGACACAGAGCCCTTTGATTCCGCCCGCCACTGCCGTCTGTGCAAAAACAGATTGCACAGCACACCGCCTCAGGAATTCCTGGCAGCCGTTCCGGGCTCACCGGGGCTCCGCCTGCCTCAGCCCTGGGCTCTGCTAATGGGCATCTGTCCTGGGTCCCAGGCTGCCCCGGCTCCGCCACTGGGGGCTCGGGAGAGGCTGAACGCCATGCTGGGTGTGTCAGGAAACCGGGAAAGCGAGGGGCATCGAGCCGCATGTGGGGCACATGCCTGTCATCCAGCACTCAGGAGGCTGAGGCAGGGGGATCGCCGCAGGATGGCCTAGTGAGCAAGACCCTGTCTCAAAGAAACGAAGAACAAGGACAAGAAAACCAGAATTCCCCATCAGGGCTCCGGCAACCCCCAGAGCACAGAGTCAGTGTCACAGTGATGCTGAACCCTGACAACAGGACTTTCGCAGATGAGGAGGGAATCGGGCCGTGGCCGTCGAGAGGCCAGAGCTGTGTCCCCCACACAGCAGGATCCAGACGTACCCTGATGTCAGGTGATTTCAATTATGGCTTCAATTCTAGCGCCTCTGCTTGCGGAAGCCTCTGAATGCTGTGCTTCAGAGCTGAAATTTAGATCTGCCCAGGACTGGCGATGTGTGGCTCCATCTTCTCCCACCACCGGGCAGCTGTGGCGAGGGCAGCTCCCAGGCAGCCTTGAGGGCACCTGAGGAATAGCTGTGCTCAGATCATGGGGTGTGTTTCCAGTTTATATTGTGTATTTTTTGGTCAGTTTATGATATTTTCATCTTGCAGCGGGTGTCTCTGTAACACCATACCCGGAGGAGCCGCGCAGTTCCCAGCTTTGAGAAGGGGCACGGCTCAGACACAGCCAGTGCGGAGGAAACTGCAGTTGTGACGTAAGTGACAGCAGCCAGGAATGCGAGGCCACACGGCGTGGGGTCACTGGTGTTCAGGGACCGGCGACTCCACAGGGACAAAAAGCAGACTGGAGCCTGGGGGGGGGGCGAGAGGGAAGGGGCTCCTCTGGGGCCCGAAAGAATCAGAGGCCCTGAACACGGGGCTCAGGGCTGGAAATGGGCCGCACCTGGGCGCAGAGCCGGCCGTTGGGCTGAGATGACTCAGCAGAACTTCACGCAGCCGCGGCTGCGCGAGGGAGGGGACTTGTGGGTAGGGAGGCAGGGACAGCGGCGCTCAGCCCTGTCCACATCCCGGCTCTGTGCTTCCCAGACAGCCTCGGACCCCGTGGGCCTCGGTTTCTCCAAACAGTACCAAGGCTGAGGGGCCGCTGTTTGGAGAACTGGGGCCCAGGAGGGCTCTGGGTGTGGGTCTCTCCGGAGTTTGGAAGATTTGCAAGTGCACCCCGAGAAGTCTTGGGGCTGGTGGCATCCACGTCTAGAGGCCAGCACCTGTCATCCCAGCGCTGGGGAGGCTGAGGCAGGAGGATCGCCATGAGTTCAAGGTCAGCCGGGCTACGCAGCAAGACCCTGTCTCAAGCTCCCCACCCCACAAAAAGGAGCATTCACTTATGTTTTTTGCGCACCTTGGACTGGAGGTGATGTTTTTGACAGTTCTGTACCTGAGACGAAGTTTTGCAGTGTGGAATTTCCCTCCTGTTGCACTAAGTTGGCCCTCAAAAGTTGGAGACCCTAGAGTGTTTTGCGTTTCCAGGTTTCAGCTGAGGGAAGCCCCACCTGTGTCCCATCGTGGGGAAGTAATAATGCAGAACAGCTAGGCTGCAAGGTGGGGAGGGAGTCCCAGTGGGACCCCGGGCTTTGTGGAGGTGCCGTGGTGTCCCCTTAGCGCTGCCACTCTTGTCTCTCAATTGCACAGCGGGGGAAGGTGTAAAGGGTGGCGGCAGACTGAATGACCGCACAGAGGGGAAGTTTTAGATTGGGTTTTGAAGCATGAGTAGGAGTTTCTGGAGCATGGCAGCAGCACCACAGACAGTGATTGTGATGTGGACCAGCCCACAGTAGGTTCTTGGAAGCTCCCAGTCTTGCCCCAACCTGTCCTGTGCTTCCAAGTGGTCCTGGGAAGCCCAGCAAGGTGATTGGATATGTAAAAGCCCTGGCTGCTGTGCTCGGGATCTAGTAAGTCCGTGTCTCTGCCGAGGGAGACTTGACCACAAACCTATCGCATACAGAAACACAAAACTTACAAGTCCTTCCTTTATTTGGGATTTCTGTGTCTAAATTCTCACATTTGCATGCATTTGCGTGCATTTGCATATATTTGCATGTGCCGTGTCTGTAAATCAGCTCCGTGCTTTCCCGTGTTGACACGCACAGACCTTACATATGTGTACTTCTTGTGTGTAAATACAGATGCTCCTGACACACGGCCAGGTGATGGTGATGCAGCCACCAGAGCTGGAATCACCCTAGAAGGCATGGGCTCCGCCTCACCCTCTGAGTGCTCAGCTCATGACACATCTCTGCTGGGCTCAAAGCCCAGGCTGGCCTCCAGCTCTTGGAGACCCTCCTGCCTCAGCCTCCTGAGAGCTGCAGCCCACACACATTACTTATCTTGCAGACAGTTTTTGGGCCCCTTGGGTAGACCAGGCACCCTTGTCCCTCCCAGCCCCGACGATGTCTGAGCCCCGGGGCCTCCTCTCCCTCTTGGCACCAGACTTCGTGCCTCACCCATCAAGATGGCCGTGCAGTGTCCCCTCCGTCGTCCCACAGGCCAAGGGCCAGGAGGAAGTGGCTCAGGGGGAAATTGAGAAAGAAGGGGCCCTGGGGGGCAGCTGGAGCAGGGCAGGGCCAGGCACGGCCTCTTGCATCCTCGGTCTGAGGTGTTCCGTGGCAGCACCATGTGTCTGTAACAGTGGTGACCCCAGCGCTCTGGGAGGCTGAGGCGGGAGGATCTCAAGTTCCAGCCCAGCCTGCAGAACTCAATAAGACTCTGTCTCAAAATGAAAAGTAAAAAGGCCTTGGATGCAGCTCTGTGCAAAGGTCCCGGGTTTTGTCTCCAGGACTGGAAGAACCTTTCTTTGGTCTCTTTTGCAAGCAGATGAATGTCGGTGTCCAGCTGACTAAAAAAGTGTTTTGGGGCCTGAACCCAGAGCCTTGCCTACACTGGGCCCCAGGGAGCTGCACCCCAACCTTTAACCCCCCTTTCTTTGCAGCATCTTGACTCTCAGAGAAGCTCACAGCCCCTCGAGGTTTCCGAGAGCCTCAGGTCCCGGAGTCAGGTGTGCGAGCTGCTGGTGGCTGCAAAGGCAGAGACGGGGCAGGAGTGGGGACCCAGGGTGCTGGGGGGCTGGCGAAGGTGCCTGGGGACCAGGTCGTCAGAGGGGACACAGTCCCTGCCTGTGCGCAGGCGGGTAAACTGAGGCCAGCCACACAACACCCGTCTGGGGCTGTGTGGGACACAGTTGCCTCCACTGCCTGAGCCTGCAGTGGGTGCCCGTGGCAGGCAGGAAGGGCCGGTTCTCCACTCTGGAGTCTGCGGGTCCAGCCCATTAGGGTGCGTCCGGTCCCCACAGCAGCCCCAAAGCCCACTTTGCCTGTGGCTGCTGGGTGGGGCTGAACCCCAGCCGAGGGTCTCCTTGTGGCTCCAGGGTGGAGTCGGTTTGTTTGGCTTGGTTTGGTTTTGGCTTTTTGAGACTGGGTCTTACTGCCATGTTGTTCAGGCTGGTCTGAAACTCACGGTGATCCTCCTGCCTCAGCCTCCCAGAGTGCTGGGATCACAGGTGTGTGCCACCCACCACGCCTGGCTCCCCAGCGTCTCGGGGACGGATCCCCGAGCCCCCGTGGGTACTGGGGACATCGCAGCCCTTGCCATGAGAGGGAACTCCGGGGTCACAGGCAATAACGCAGTGGAGTGGAATTGCGCCCCTGGGGTGCAGGCAGCTGTCGAGCTGGCTCCCTCGGAAGGTTCCAGAACAGCCCATCCCCCAGTACCGGCTTTTCAGTGGGTAAACTGAGGCACGGCTAGGGGAGGAGCCCTGGGGTCTGTGCCAAGGTGAGCCTGCCTGAGACATGGAGCTGGGGGAGTAGGTGAGCCCCAGACAGACAGGCAGGCAGTGGCAGCCGGAAGTGGCAGGCACAGGGGGCGTGGGAAGCTCAGGTGCGGGTGGGGTGGGGCCAGCCCATGCCACACCTGAGGAGTGGGGCCTGAGCACCCCACCTGGCTCTGGGGGCGGCTGTCTGCGGCTGTCACCCTGGGACATGGTGTCCCCACCACGCAGGGTCGCACCCGTGGCTGAAGGAGCCCGCGCTCTGAGGGTCGCCCTTGCCTTCCCATTCTGAGCGCTGGGGCTGGAGCCCAGGGCCTCTGTGTGCCTTAAGCGCTCACCCCTGAGCCCTGTTGTGTTTTATTTTCATTTGAGACAGGGTCTCCTGAAGTTCCTAAGTCGCCCAGACTGGGCTTGAACTTGCTATCCTCCTGCCTCAGCCTCCTGTGTGCTGGGATGACAGTTGTGCGCCCCCAGACTACCCTCCAAGCCTTTGCCCACACAGTCCTTGCAGGGCACCCCGGGTCTGACAGCCCCTCCCGCACTACTTCAGGACGACCCCAGCCCAGGCCCCACCAGCAGTGCAGAGTTCGAGTCCCGCCCTCATGCCTGCAAGACCTGACAAGGCCTTGCCTGTTGGCGTCTGGAGCCGGCTGCACCCCACCCCACTGTGGTTTGTGAGGACGCAGAGCAGGGCACAGTGGGCACCCAGCCTCGTGCCGCTCATGACAGAGGCTGAGGGGCCTCGAGGAGGTGGAGGAGAGACCCAGGGGTTACCATGCTGCGTCCGGCTCACAGCGGGGAAACTGAGGCCCACTCCATTCTGGTCAAGACGGCCCTCTAGGGTGGGTGCTGCAGGAGGGACGGTGGCCTCCTTCCTCCTCCCAGCCTGGGTGCCGGGCAGGCGACTGCTGCACACAGAGCCTCAGCCACAGTCCCCAGTGCCTGCCCTGGGGTGGGAGTCCTGGCTTCAAGGGCAGGGCCTGCTTGGGGTTCTTTGCAGCCCTGGGATGAAAGCGAGGGCCTGTGCATCACGGGAAAGCGCCATACTGCAGAGCTCGCCCCGCCTGCTTAGCTTTTATTTTGAGACAGGGTCTCTCTACATCTCCCAGTGATCCTCCTGCCTCAGCCTCCTGAGTGCTGGGATGACAGGCCTGCTCCACCAGGCTCAGCTGAGCTCAGGAATTTGGGGCCAGCCTGGCAACAGTGAGACCTGATCTCAAAACCAACCAAACAGCCAATCAGCCCATCAACAATAAAGCACAAGGGCCAGGTGTGGTGGCACGCACCTGCAATTTCAGCTTTGGGGAGGCTGAGGCAGGAGGATCACTCCAAGTTTGAGGCCAGCCTGGGCTACATAGTGAGCTCAAGGCCAACATGAACTGCATAGCAAGATGTCTCAAAAAACAAAACAGCCCGTTACCTTTGCTGTCCCATGTGTGCTATGTTGCTCGTGCTTTGCCTGTTTGTGTCCCTGACTTAGGGTCAGCTGATTGTGGACTGAAACCTTTGGAAGCTGAATAAACCCTTTCCCTCTAAACAAAACAAAACAACCCCTGCCCCCCAAAACAGTCACTTTCATGTTTTGAGAATTTTTCAAGTTTTAAATGGTTTTCAGCAGTAGGGATGGAACCCAGGGCCTTCACGCTCAGCTGCATCCCCAGCCCTTTTTTATTTTTCATTTTGAGTCGGGTTTTCGATGAGTTGCCCAAGCTGGGCTCAAACTTGGAATCTTCCTGCCTCGGCCTCCCAGAGTGCTGAGATGCATGGCAGGCCGGCACCATGCCCCAGCCCGTGTTACATTCTTTAAAAACAGAATTAGAGCCGGGCCTTAGCTCAGTGGCACTGTGCCTGCCTTGAAAGTGCAAGGCTCTGAGTTCGATCTCTGGTACCAAAAACAAAAACAAAAAAAACCCAAATAAAAAATCAGAGCCCGCT